GAAGCTCTTGAGGACCGTTTTTAATTCAGTAAGAGTGGCTTCATCTAAAGGAGATGCAGTAGTCACTGTGCACAGTACTTCTCCACGGTGGACACTCATCATGGTCGAAAAGGCAGAAATGACTCCAGGGGTATTGTACAAGCGACCATTCTCAGCAAGCAAATTGATCAGGTTGGATGTGAGAGGAGAGAACCTCTCTTTTGCGCTCATGTCACTTAGGTTTTTCACTTTCACGGAACACTTTATATAGGGATTCATAATGGAAGCAGCCATTTTGGGTTCCTTCAAGATTTGTGCTACTCTCAACAATTCTTTCTCTACTTGTTCCAGTTTATTCTGTTTAGATGCAGCAGAATAAAGAGCAGTGGCATAGCGACCTTCGATACCATATACCTGAACAGGTGGCCGCACGAGCTTGGAAAACGGCCTGACCACAGTCATACTAAAGCATCGCACCTGCCGGGACAGCCCGGACACTGCTGGGACGGCCATCTTCTCCGGGTGGCTCTTGACCATGAATTTTTATATTCACACAAAAAAAACTTGAAATGATCCACTTAGAGAAGACTTCTAAAATGTTATCACGAAGCGGATCAGTGCCCACGCCGTGCGTGCCAAGCGTGTGAGCCCTACGGCAGGCACACGTCGGAGACACAGACCAGTCGGTTCCAGCCTGGTTATTCCATAACAAGAAAACAAATATTGCAAGAGAGCAGGTCAGATGAATGTTGTGGTTTCCCGGTGTGTATAAAAGTTGTGTTTACCCTATGCTGTAGGCTGTCAAGTGTGCAATAGCATTATGTCTGAAAAAACAATGTCTGTAGCTTAATTAAAAAATGCTTTAATACTAAAAAATACTTAACCATCATCTGAGCTTTCAGTGAGTCATAATCACTGATCACAGACCACCGTAATGGATATGATAATAATGAAAAAGTTTGAAATATTGTGAGATTCATCAAAATGTGACAAAGTGAACAAGTGGCGCTGGAAAAAAAATAATGGCACCAATAGACTCGCACAACTCGGAGTTGCCACAAACCTCCGATTTGTGAAAAAAGGCAGTATCTACAAGTATCTGCAAAGCGTCATAAAGCGAGAGACATAATACAACAAGGTGCTCCTGTCCTGGCTTTGTCTGCCCCGTAAAAAGAATCTTTAGGACTCTAACATGGGTTCCTTCTGAAGACATATTTGTTATCAATCCGTTCAGCTCTTTGCATGGGCTTCTGACCGGTTTTCATGACTAAGACCACAGGCAGGTGAGGGCAAGAAGGTGTTGGTCCTCATTTCTTCTTCAAATGAAGATCGTGCATAGACACAGGCTCCTTCAGTTTGGGGGAAACAGAGAAGCTCATTATGTTGTTCAATGCCAAAGAAGAAGTCCTTTTCCAGCAGCACCCGATAAACGAATGTGTGTGCATGGGGCGCTCAGGCTTGGGTGTACCTCCTCGGCAGGTGACGGTCTATCACACACCTGGGAAGCCTGGTCCTTGGGACAGCGAGCAGCCCCCCAATGGGGAGACCCCAGCGTGGCTCATGGAAACTGCCCTTTGCACCTCCCTTCAGATCTTCAGACCACGGTCATAAGCATGCAGAGGCATGAAAAAGCCTGGATTCAAACTCTAGCTCTACTAGACATTGGCTGGGTGTGTGGCTGTGGACAAGTGTTCTTCTTAACCTCTCAGAGGCTCAATTCCCTGCCCTGTGAAAGTGAGAGCAATAATGGTTTGTAATTCGTAGCACTGAAGGGGGCGGGGTGGTTCTTGCAGGCGTGTATGTGAGGAGCTTCTCACGTTCCCTGGGACTCAGGGCTGTAGGTGGGTGGGATCAAACAGACCGGGCTGACTCTCCGTCCTGTCCTGGCATATGCCTGAGCCTCAGCGGGTTGGAGACTGAACACTGTCCCCTGCTTGACACGACCCCACCCAGTGCTCAGACCCCAGAACTCGTCACAGCACAAGGATCTTCTGCAAATGACCTGGGCTTTGAGGCCAGGGCTGCAAGAAGAGGGGTGCGCCCGCTGTACTGCACAGTGCCCTGCATTGGACTAACCTGTCCCAGGGATGCTCTGAGGACGGTGGCCACTTCTCAGCCCTTCCAACAGATTGTCGGTGCCCAGCCCAGAAAACGGATGTCGGAGACCCATGAAAAGACAAGACTCAAATTCAAAAGGACAGCAAGGGAGGGATTAGAACATTACATACACCCAGAGTGAAATAAGGGGAAATAGATAAAATTCACAGGACTTTGAATTAAGTTTGGGACATCTTTGCTGCCCTGTCCTGTTCCTCTAAAAGCACGGCCCTCTCCCAGGCTCCCCCTCCAGAGGCTCAAGCGGAGCCCCTGCCCGGGGAGGCTCCCAAAGCTCTGCTGACCACTCAGCCTCCTGTCCGGCGTCCTGCTCTGGGGGCGGCCTCATCCGTCTCCTTTGAGTGCCTTGGTGCTTTCAATGCCCCGAGACGCAGGGCAGCTGGAGGCTACGGCAGTCACCCTGGGCCACGGTTGAACTGGTCCCGTCGGTGAATGGATGCCCACAACGGACCGCGTCGTACATCTGTTTGCGGCGGGCAGGGAACGGAGGCGACCCGTGCTGGTCAGTAAAACGGTTACCCAGTGGGAAGAGTCCTGCTTCCAGACGAGTAAGGAGGACGTGCCTTTTCCTGGTTTGCTGAGGGCACCTTGGGGTTTGGCTAAATCCCCGGAGGAGAGGCGTGCTGTCGCAGGGCTCGGGGGTATCCCAGAGAGAAGGCTGCGCTGCCCCAGACCCACTACAGCATCAGGGAGCTCCGTCTTCTTCCTCCGGCTCTTGGGGACCTGGCCTGCCCCCGTTCTCCTAGATGTGCCAGAAACTGGAGCAGAAGGGGGAAGAGCTTCAAATCCCAGTTTCCCACTTAACCGTTCACCTTAAAAGGGTGGGGGGGGGGACAATGAAGTGCGGTGACAAGTAGAAGGCGCCGAGCAGGAGGCTGACCTAGAGAGACCCACGGCACCGCGCCTTCCCGCCTGCCCCCCCTCTGCCTCCCCGCACCCTCCACGTCTCCTTGCTAACAGCACCTCTTGACTCCTCAGCCTTAGACCAGATAGACCCCCACTGCCCCCCACGGCAGATCCAGCCGCCTGCACCAGCCCTGTCCACAGCGCGGCAGTGCACAGGCTGGCGTCACTATGTATCTCAAGGTGACACATGCAATGGATGACGGCTGCACTTCGTAATCCATTTATGTAATCCTTCCTGCTTTGCTTGCAGTTATTTTCAGAGCTTTAGCAGCAATAGAATGCTTCCTTTCCCGAGACACAGTTCATTCAATTTAAATCTGCATTGATTATAGCTAAATTTAGGACATGTCTTTACAAAGGAAGGAAAAAACAGCAATAAATGATGCACAGAAATTATTCAGCACCCCCTCCCCTTGCCCCCCACTCCCAGTGTCGCAGGCTCAGCATGTAGCAGTGGGGGTAAAAATTCCCTGCCCTTGAGAATCAAAGCCTAGTCACACATACGGAAAGGCTCTCAGGGCAGGGCATCGATCCAACTGCCATTGATTCCTTATTCAAGTGGTCACCGGCCATATGGCCAGACTTTCCGCTGACTTCATGGTGTCAAGGGGACTCTTCATCAACCCGCACCTTCTTTGCTTTTGGTTTCCCTCACGGGCGTTCTCCCGACAACATCCTTAGCCTCTGGCTTCTACCCCAAAAGAGCACTCTCAACTGCTCCTCACGCAGTTTGGGTTTAAGACCAAGACTCTTGCAGGGGCTGGAGTCCAGGGTAAGCCTGCTGCTGTCTGCCCAGCCTTTTTGTGGGATTTCCCCTGTGCCCGCCTGGCAGGTGACGAGGGAGGCACTCCAGAGCATGGTCAGAAGGCTTGCATGCCAAGTGCATGGAGGATTAGGTGCCTTTTTGAGAATGTTGAATGTAACCTATGTAAATATGATAATATAAATTTAATCCAAGTAAATATCTGTGACTCGAATTTGGAAATTGAGGGTGCTGCTCTTAATTCACAGAAGTCCCAGTAACCATACCCCCTTGACAATCACTGACCCAGAGGCATGGCCAACAGAGAGAAATAGAGGAGAAAGGCCTGAATTGTTTTATTTTTGACCATTTGACTTTAAAAGGAAACATGGAAGGAAAAATCAAAATGAATCTAGACGAATAATCATAATTGGCTTTGACTGAGAGCCAGGCACACTAGATTCAATCCTTCAAATATTGCTGTGAAATAGATAAAGATGAAGAAGCAGAGATTGGAAGCAGCTGGGTAACTTTCCAGCTCCCGGGAGGCAGGCAGCTGTGGCTTGGCTTTGGAGCCCAGGCTGTACCCACTGGGCTCTGCCACCATCCAGGACCCGGTGCACAAACACACATCATCTGCACAGCCCCCAAATGCCGTTTTCTTGGACGTTTTGATTGACCTTGGAGTTAAAATGAAACTAAAACCTTCTTCTTCTTCACACTTCCCTGTAAAATTTCATCACCAGCTAAACATAATAGAGTAGTTGTCCCTAATGCATCCCTGATAGAATTCAAATTATATTTAAATAATGGTTTGGAATTCAGGTTTTATTTAGAATCAAGAGCCGATTTATTTTGGTGGCTTCTTTTTTTTTAAGATAAAGGCAGTTATTTTACATTGCTGGACATTTCATTTTCTTTCCTCAGAATTCTTTTTGTATATTAAAAAAAGGTATAAGGAAATCTGAACCAAGATAAAGATTTAGCCAAGTTTTTGAGAGTTTTTTTTTTTGTTTTTCCTTTGTTGTTGATTATTTTATTTATTATTAATATTATTATTATTTTGGAAGAGCAGATGGGATCAAGAGAGAATCAGACTTTCCACCTTCCGTGTTAGGTTCCTAACTGAGACCCCAAGGACGGATTCGATCCCTGCATTAAGGTCACCTCACAACATCTTCCCACCCCTTCCCAAAAACACCTGCTGGGGTTTTTGCTCAGGGTCGTGTGCTCGCTCACACCTCTGTCTTTCTTACAGTCGACCTGGACAGGCTCAATGATGACGTCAAGCGCTACAGTTGCACTCCCAGGAATTACTCCGTCAACTTAAGAGAGGAGCTGAAGCTGACGCACGTGGTCTTCTTTCCCCGGTGCCTCCTTGTGCAGCGTTGTGGGGGCAACTGTGGCTGTGGGACCATCAACTGGAAATCCTGCACGTGCAGTTCCGGGAAAACTGTGAAAAAGTATCATGAGGTATGTCCTTCTTACACGTCCGTGCTGCAACACAATGTTATGTAACCTGCAGGGTGCTGGACGAACGGACCATTGCATACAGTTGTTCAGGTTGTTCACTGCACAAAGGCACCCAGCCAGAGGGATGCGTGGGAGCCGAAATTATACATGAGCTAAAATTGCTAAGCCAAATGCCCCAGAGAGGTTAACTCCTTCCTGAAGGATGGACTCTTTTTTTCTGTTCTTTTTTTTTTTAATATTTATTTATTCACTTGAGAGAGAAAGAACGAGAGCACGAGTGGTGGGGGGGTCCAGAGGCAGAGGGAGAAGCAGACTCCCCCCTGAGCGGGGTTCCCAACACGGGGCTCGATCCCAGGACCCCAGGATCATGACCTGAGCCGAAGGCAGACACTTAACCAACGGAGCCAGCCAGGTGCTCTGGACTCTTTTTCCTAATCATCATAATACAACCTGTGGGACAACATCCTTGTTAGATTATATAATCAAATGCATGACCCAGTGATTCAGAGCTTACGTGCCTTCTTTGTAGTAATATGATGGAATAATAAAGACTATCACTACAAAATCTAGGTTGCTTTAAGAAAATTCTAAGGGCCAAACTTGAATTCAATCAAGTCCTTAAGAAATTAAGCAGAGTGAAGACAGCAAAATGTAAATTGACAGAAAATATTTATAGTTGAGACTTTTTAATTCGCTAAATATGATATTCTTTTTCTTCTAAAAATACCAATTTTTCCTAAATACTGCTGAGTGCTACCCGGGGAATCAGCCGTGAAAGTATGCAAAAATAAACAAAAGTAAATATGAGGATCAAAGAGGAACAAAAGTTTAAGGAGAGCAGATTTCTGCAGAGAGCAGAACTCTGTGTTCCAGAGTCTGTTCTTATCACTAGTAAACACTGTGCTTTTTCCTTTGTAAACACATAGCCCTTTATTGAGCATTAAAGAAAGAGTAGATTTAAGGGGAGTCAGGGCTGCTCCTGACCTCGGCAGCAGCTGTTACTTGCCAATCGTGGGAGCATTTGCAAGTCACAAAATTTGGAGACTCGGTTTTCACATATGTGAAATGGGACTAAGAAATTATATCAGATAATCACTTATAAAGTGGTTCTGGGGATCGAATAAAATAGTGCATATGGAATGCATTTTCTAAGATGTGAAACATCATACAGAAATGTGTTTAAGAATATAATCTAAACAATGAAGTAGACATTATCATTAGAAATGATTGAGTTGTTTTTCCTCTGTACCCAAAACAAAGAATAGAGAGTGCTCCCTAAATAAAGCCTTTAGCTTTGTAAAACTGGGTGGTGGTGTTTTTTTTTTTTTAAATCCTAAAAAACAATAAAACAATATGAACAAGTTTAAGGAGGTGACTTTGTAGCTAAAAGAGAATGGATAGGTCATACCTAGTATTTTCAACTTGGGAAGTGTAGGAAGTCAAATGCCACAGTGACCATGCTTACCTTACGCGGGGGAAACACATTATTTTAGACCTACACAAAGCTTATTTTCTTAGTCATAAGAATTCCTTACTCCACCCTGCAATTTTCCAGGGGGAAAAAAATGTTCTCATATCCAGAGAATGCTATAGTCTATGTTCATTGTGTTTTATTTTTATATGACCTGATGAACTCTAGATTGGATGTTGTCCTTTGCATCTAAGAACCTGCATTTTGTAATGTTTAGTCATGCTCTGAGGATCAGTGCAGAATGCAATCATCAAGCTAGAGTTAAAATAATCTAGCCAGTGACAAGATCTCTACCTAGGCAGGACACTGAGCAAAGACATTCAAGTGTGGGCCTTTGATCTGTCTGTAGAGTGCTTTATTTTCCTCTGGACTCTGCTCAGATAAAAGTTACAGCTTCATTTTTTAAATTGTTTATTGCAGAAATGGCGGAGTTAAACATACACCCTACCCCTTAAAAAAAAACCCTCGCCTCCCAGACAGTTAATGCTAAAGGGCTTTGAAGGGTCCTTCTCTTGCGTCTTTTCTTGTCTCTGCACACCAGAGCTGTTACCTGTACATTTCTGTTCACAATTAGTATCTAGAAAGGGAAGTCCTTGATCTCTGCTCATCACAGGAGCAGGTCTGAGATGTCAGCATCTTTTTGAAGCTGCTCTCTGAAGCAGCTCTTTGAAACATTGTATCACAGTAGTTTTACTTCTGGGGTCTGCAGAGCTCTACACGAAATCACTCTGCCAAGCGCTGGACAAAGGGACAAAACAGCATCAGTCACTCTCTCAGCCGCTGCATAGCTGGAACGAACATGCCTGGCACATTGCCCCGCGACTCCTAAAATACCTTGCAGCATGTCCCAGTGATCACTCTGTTGAGCGCCCCGTGGAAAAGAGTAGAAGGCTTGTTCCGTTTCCAGCAAAGGGGGTTGCCTGAGCCAGGCTCATTAGGGAAAAATCCTCGTTCTTTGTTCTGTTCTGTGTCTGTGTTCTTACCCCAGAGACACGAGAAATCAGTTTCCCCAGCTTCTAGTTGTAACTGATGAGATGTGAAATGAGTTTCCATGGGCCATGAGCACCCTTAAGGGGGTAACTGGAACTCAGCGTTTAAGGCATAAATCTGAAAAATTATAAAGCTCCTAATGAAGCTTAGATAATTGTTCTTTCCACGGGTCATGCTGTTTCTCCAGTAGGGGGTTGAGCATTTTTTCACTGTGTGATACAGTGTTACTTCCTTTATGATTTTCTGTTTTCCAAAAGTTTGTGGGTACCCTGTTAAGGTATTTTTCCTGTTTGTTCATAATAGTTCTTTGATGCCTCCTGTAATGTATAGGATACAGAAGATACTTTGGGGTAGGGATTTTTCAAAAAGGAAGGTTCCAGAAAACATACTGTGTAGACAATTAGAGGATGATGTTATTTCAGTTCCCATCTTGCCTTGATAATGCACCATGAAGGAATAGGATCTTCCCTAGAAATACGGTGACCTTTTAAATTAATATTTAACTGTGTTTCATCATCTGGTCCCCTGTCTATGGACATTCGGGCAAGAGCCAAAAACTCACGAAGCAGCAGAGAGAGGAAGATCGGAGTTAATTTTTCTGTCCTTCCTCTCGTGATTGTGTCGCGATGCTGCTATAACCAGCTATCCTGTCTAGTAGAACTTTCTGCAGTCCCAGTACAGTAGTCTCCAGCAGCATGTGGCTAAGGGGCACTTGACATGTACAGAACGCAAACGGGAGACCGGACTTTGAATTTTCTATGATTTTAACTAATGTAAACGTAAATAGCTACACACGGCTGGTGGCTGCCATATTGAAGGGCACAGCCCAGAGCCATCTCTGTTTCTGGCACAACCATTCCTGTCTCTGGACAAAATGGAAAAAAAATAATGACTTTAGAGGATTATTTTCATTTCACTCTAGAATTTTATATTAAAAATTTGCTTCCTATTACAGCTTAAGTGTTAGGAAATGTAAGCAGATGTTTATATATGAACAAAAAGATTAATTAGAGGTTTTAAACTGTTGAGCTTCAGACTTGAGATAAAAGAATAGTACTTTTAGTTTTTACATGTTTTAAGCATCTGCCATAGAAACAAATTTAGCTAAAATTGGAACTTGAGATCAAGGAGACAGAAAAAAATTTTGTTTCCAAAGAGTTTCTCCTCTGTGGCAAAAGCAGTGAGATGTGGGGTTATGATTATAACCAACCATAACAAAAGTCAAGAAAAGTTCTTCTCTTTTTCTGGAAGTAGCATTTCTAGAGCTAGTATAGCATCTCCCGGCTTCCTCCTCTCTCTCTCTCTTTGGGTGAGACCGGGAGACCACTCTCCCGTGGGCTTTTCCTGTGTTTCCGACGAGAGACGGGGCAATAGAGCAAAACGTGGCCTGACTGGAAGCCTCCAGTTCCAGCTTTGCACACTTCATCCCCACAACAACCCACAGTTTTGGGTTCCCAGGCAGACCTGAAGTTACATGGCATCCATCAACTGTTACACTCTCCTACCCCTCAAATCCTACCTTACTGACGTTACGTGAGGAATGAGAGCAAATCGGTGGTGGAAGTGCTAGGTCAATGTAAAGGACTAAAGATAGGATGGGAACAGTTCATGTTGATGGAAAAGTTCACTCACGCAGCAGTGACAACACTGATGCTCAGCTCACGGGGACACTGGACAAAGGCTGAAGCCTGGAAAGCCCAGATGTGGGTGGAGTTTTCGGAGAGGTCTGGCTTCCCTGCAGCCTCGATGACTCCCCGAGTGAATGGACCCTGCATTTAAGTATGAACGAATGTGCGCATTCCTTCCCTGCTAGACCTAGCTTCTCGCCATCGCTTCGCAAACCTGCCTTGGGGTGTGCTCCCCCTCAGGTAGACAAGACCATTTGTGATATGAATGGTCCTCCATGCTAATCCCATGCTCTGAAGTTGGTGCCTGGTTAGCCTTCCGTTACGTTTTCTGCAATGGGTAGTCATGAGCCCTGTACGGTGCTGCCGAAATTATGGAACTGCTTCGTTCTTTCAAGGTTGGACTGCAGCTGGGTGCACCCTGCAGTAACCCCAGAGTGCTCCCAGAAAACGTAATGTCTCCAGAGATTAAGATTGCATTTTCAGTACTCATGAGTGTTTTACGGACCCTGACTCTAATCCCAGCCTTTGGTCCCCTACAGCCTTCATTGTCCAGGGAAGCGTTGTTAAACTGTGTCATCGGGGTCTTTCTTTCCGAGTACCCTATCTTATGACGTGCAGTCAGCCCTTCCGCTAGGATGTTCCACGTCTGCTGGGGGTGCTACAAGTTCGGTAATTACCCAGGCAGAAAATAATGCGTTATCCCTTCTCAAGGTGTTTTTGCTTGTAATCACCTAGGTTTCAGAGAAATGGACTAGCAGCCCTTAATAATCTAAACTCTCCGTACATTTTTCATAAAGCCTAGAAGCATGGAAAAGTTCAAAATGGAGGCAAAACTAGGAGGCTTTTTTTTTTTTTTTTAAGATCAGAAACTATGTATCTGGAATACCACCTGCTTTAGAAGTTGAGGAGAATCTTAAATAAACTCTTAATGATTCCAGCTTATACAATGCATTTGTCCTGAAATACATGTTTTTGTTCCTACGTCAGCCATTAATCTGAGAACTATTACAAGGCCTTAACAACCTTTTTCTTTACATTCCCAATAAAGAAGAACCCAACTCAGCAGATAGCTTTTCTGCCTGGTATTGTTTTATTAGTGTAATAGCTTTGTGGCAATGATTCATTCATTGGTTTATTGGCAACGAGGCGAGTAACCAAGGTGAAATATCTTCCATGGTGTGGTAATTTGCAGACCGAGCATCTTTGACTTTGTGTAGTGTTGTGAAAGCCTCCAGCCGGCTTAGTCGATGTCCAATTAGTAAAAGTCAACTTTGCCTAGCTTCATGTGGTTTTCCAGGTGGTGGAGAGGGTTCAGGATTTCCATCTCCATCCATAGGTAAAAAGAAATGGCTGGCTGCTCGTCAGTGGATTTTACTTCAGGGTGTGCTCACAGCTGTGAACCCTAGCTGGGAAGATAGGAAAGCATTTTGGGATGGTCCTATTAGTAAGTGTCCTTCGGCGGCTGTAACTAATTCCTTCCCTTTGAAAGTGACCAGATAACCTATAACCAGCCAGTTTGCCTTCCCAGATAAAGGTTTTTCATTTCTCTTTTAACTTTCCGTGCTCTCTTAAGTCGGCTTTGCTTTCTTCCTCCTTTCAGTGCTGTGTACCTGAACCTAAGACTATTACATGGTCTGAAAGCTTTGAACATCAGTGCTGTGATCAGCCAGGAAAACAGCGCAATTTCCACTTTGTTCGAACAGTGCTTTCCGGTCTTGTCTGGGAAAGTGTCTGCCAATTCATTTTTCTCTTCTTATCAGCAAAACACATCTATACTGTGCTCACGTTGCTTAATATAAAACACAGGGAAAATCCCTGAACAATCAGGAGACCAGTTAGAAAAACTACTGGGGCTCTGCACTCATCCCACCGCACACTCTTTTGTTTGCCGTCAAATGAGAAAGCAAATCACCAGAGCCCTGAGTGTCCAGGGGCCGGTCATCACCACTCATTAGGCTTTCATAGCAGCCTTAATGCTTATCATATGCTCATTGTCTTAGGAGTCATTTCCCTCCCCTGCATCTGCAGACCCCCCAAATCTGGTTTACGTAGAATCTTGGACAACAGTGACTAATGCATATTGGAGAAATTCTCAGAGAAGCTGTAGGACTCAAACCTCTAACACCTTCCAAGGCACTCCGACCAAATATAGCCCAGCTGGACTTGCTGATCCATCATGGGCGGCGCTATTCAGTACCCCAAAATGTCAGACGTTCTTCAACCCTTGTTGTTGGGTGGTTTTTTTGGGGGGGAGTAGTTTTTGTTTTTGGTTTTTTACTTATTTTTTTCATGAAGAAGCCACATCTTTTTTCCCCTATAGTTCCCTGCAAGAGAGAACACGGGAGCCACACACGGAAGGCCAGATGCCATTGTAATTCTGCTCTTAGTACTTTAAATCTTCTTCCCAGATTGTGAAAGTGTTAAAAGTGGCCCCACATGTGGGGCACTTATTTTGGCCTCTGCTTTACTTCCTGGCTTGTGTGTCTGTCCCGTGTTTGTTGGAGGTGCAGGGAGGGAGGTAATGAGAGGAGATGCAGGGAGGAGGTAAAAAAGAGAGAACAGGAGCGTTCACTTCTCCGTTGGCACCACCACCCACCCAGGGGGTGCTTCTTCACCGGTTGCTATGTTCGCCACATCCTACTGAGCTGTACAAACATAGTTCCCATTTCGTAGGTGAGCTTATCCACATGGGGTCAAATTCCAGTGCCAACTCTGTAATTTTGGCACGTAGCTTAATCTCTCCTCTTACGTATGAAAATTAGAAAAGTACCTAATAGTGTTGCAGGGAAGCCCAAATAGTATTTGCAAAGTCACTTTCAACAGTGTGTGGCTTCTAGTAAATACTCAATAATATTAGTAGTAGTTTCTGCTATCCTTGCCCTCGAAGCACTTATAATCCAATGAATAGAGAGAATACAAAATAAATCGGGTGAAGTTGTGTGATACATGTTGTTGGAGTAGTAGGAGAGTTGCAGGAGAAAAAGAGAACAACAGAATTAGCTCTCAGAACTGCCATTTGGACTAGTTTACCGACAGCAGATACATTTGAGTCTTTGTGCCTCTGGCATGAACCCTCGTAGGGTGCCCCTTTCCGCCCCCACTGTGTACTCATAAACATTCTTTTGAAGCTCTGCTACACGTGGGAATCCATGTCCCACTCCGTGTTAGCAGAGACCAGACCCCATAGCCTGATTGAACATGGAACAAATGAGGTGCTTTATTCTCCTCCTCACTGGGGCCCCCACGGCCCAGCCTGGCTACACAAAGGAGTGCAAAGTGCTGAGGGCTCTGAACCTGCTTTTCCTAGTCGATGGTTTCGGTCTATTTGTGACTCGAGGCAGGTAATGATGTGAGGAGGAGCACATTGCTGGGAAGAGAATTCATAGTCAAGAGTCGGAAGAATGCCAGGAAAAGTCTTGCAGACTCTAAAGCAAGATTTTGCCACAGACCAGAGTATGCCAGCCAAAGCATCTCAGTCCCTACTCCAGTTCCCATGTGGAGCCCGACGGCCTTTGGAGACACAAAAGGAAATCATAGGCACATCGAAGAGGCGTTGATCCCAGCGTGCTGGGACCCTATCGGACAGAGCTCTGTGTGCAAGTCCAAGTGGCCAGAAGACCCCGCACAAGGCACACGGCCTCCTTGAGGGTCCCATCTATAAAATGCAGATGAGGAACATCCTCTACTAGGTGACAAGGTTTGTTGCAGGGCAAAAGAAATAATGTGTCTGTGCAAATCCTTTGAAAAGGATAAAATACAACATCATCATATGGTAGCACCTGCTGGAGTTTAGAGTCTGAAAGGAAAATGGAAAAAAGTCAAAAGTAAAGACTAACAGGAACCTAAGAACGTACAGAAGAGAAGCAATTAAACCGACCGGATAGTATCTGTGATAGCACATATATGATTTCCCAAGTAATTGTGTCTGAGATGAGTAATGTTTGATTTCAGCGAAGGCCATAGCAGGGAAGAAGTTAGCTTCCATGTAAACTTACTAAAATTGTGTTTCAACTTAGATTTTTTGTAAGTTTTTATTTAAATTCCAGTGTGTTAACATGCAGTGTAATATCAGTTTCCGGTGTACAATACAGTGATTCAGCACACCCATCCATCACCCGGTGCTCATCAGGACAGGTGCGCTCCTTCATCCCCATCACCTGTTCCCCCATCCCCCACCCCCTCCCCTCTGGTCACCAGCAGTGTGTTCTCTGTAGTTCAGAGTCTGTTTCTTGGCTTGTCTCTTTCTCTCTTTCTTTCCCCTTTGCTCATCTGTTTTGTTTCTTAAATTCCACATATGAGTGAAATCATATGGTATCTATTTTTCTCTAACTTAGTTCCCTTAGCATGATAGTCTCTAGCTCCATCCATGTCATTATAATCAACTTATTAATTCAAAAAATTAAGGATATGCTTTATGAAGAAATGCTGTACGGATACACAGATCAATGTAGAAGATTTTAGTGGAGCTGATCTGTTTTGAATTGTAAAAGGTATTGTGTATTAACAAATGTATAAGAACATAAACACATTTTCACCTAATTATGGCCAGTAATCACCTTCATCATGGCAAAAATATTTTACATTAACCAAACATTTAGCCACAGCAGCATATTATGTTCATGACTTTATTCATTGTTCTAAGGAGTAATCAATGCTCGGTATTGTATTTATCCATAACATATGCTCTGTTCAGAAGAATCTTTATGACAGTATTTGGAGCAACACTCGGCACAAAACAGGCCCTTTGAAAGCTATCAATAAGTGCCTGCCAGGACCCCTGAGCTCATCTTGGTACTGCAGCCTGGTAATGTAGGAGGCGTTACTCTGTGGTCAGCAGACCACTCTACCCACGTCAGGAAGTTGATGATTGTAAAAACATTTTCAGGAGTGCATCATAATAACAAGCCCAGAGTTTCCATTGGCTTCTCAAAAGGTTGGGGACCAGTTGTCATAAAAAGCATAAGGGGTATCTAGTTGTGCTAAACTCTCAGGGCTTTCTAACAGGAAATATGCTTCTTGTCCTAGGTATTAAAGTTTGAACCTGGCCATTTCAAGAGGAGGGGCAGAGCGAAGCACATGGCTCTCGTTGACATCCAGTTGGATCATCATGAGCGCTGTGACTGCATCTGCAGCTCACGACCACCTCGATAAAAGAGTGTGCACATACTTACATTGAGCATGAATGAATCTTTAGTTTAAGGAGGGTGTGGTAAGAGACCCTTTTCCCACCAGCAACCGAACTTAACTACTAGCCTGCAAAGCAATGAATACAAGTGGTTGCTGAGTTTCAACCTAGCTTTGTTAGCCATGGCAAGTAGAAAAGTATATCATCAACTTCTGTATCCCAGAATATAGGATTGCATTTAATAATAGTGTCGGAGAATATATACGTATATATACATATGTATATATTCTCCATGTCTATGTGTAAATACATCAAATGGTTTATTCAGTGTATACAACCAGAGCTGACATATGGTGGAGTTATTTAGACCCTTAAAATCTTTTGACTAATTCAGGGACATATTAAATACATGAAACATGGCCTTGGAAGATTCAGAAGATTATTTTGTTTATTTTTAAACTCGAATCACAAAACAGTCTTGGATCTTGCTCTTTTAAAGAAAACACATTGTATATTAAAAACCAATAAATTAGCTTTTCTTATATAAACATCTTAATTATAAAAAAAAGAAAAGAAAACTATGGCTTCTGGGAAAAGCACAGATGATTTTTCCCATGGGACGCACTATATGCTTACCTATGTAGACAATAATTACCTATCTCCAGAAGCATGCCATAATAATATAGATGCTTTAGAAATTAAGTCATTAAGTCTTCTTTTTAGGCATCTTGCTGAGGCATGCAAATTCACTTAACACCTGTCTCAAAAAAATTTCTCAGAAGGTTGACTATTATAATCCTCCCAGAGACAATTTATTAACTGTAGCAGAATTTTTAATTGTTTTATTCTGAAACTCCTCCACAGAAGTAACTCCTTTTAGAAAATGGCATGGGGACTCTGTATGAGCCTTTCAAAATAGTGTTCGTTGAAAGATTTGGGTAGTTGAAAGTAAGAACAGTGAATGCAGAAATATTAACAGAACTGGAAATCGGATGGAATATTTGATTGGATCCATATTTAATAATGGGTCCAAAACTCTCCAAACTCTGCCAGTTCATTTTATGTCTCTTGCTTATGTGTTCCTGTCTCTTTGATATACAAACGTGGATTTACAATGGCATTTAAATTTGGCAAGAATCGTGAATTATTTTTAGACTAAAAGCTTTTGTGTATTAAAACCACCCGATTTTATTGATGTACATTCCTAATTGTACCCTCACTCACCATTCTGAATTCCTGTTTCTGAACTAAGTGAAATCAGATCCGGGGTCTGTGGTTCTCTCCAGATCTGTGGAGCTTGTTCTAAGAAGCTGTCCTGCAAGTTACAGGAACACAAATTTGGCCTCTCTCCACCACTAGAAACCTTGAGTTCGCATGGGCAGTCATTCTTGGTATTTAGGGTCACTTTCCCTCCCTGGTTCCTCAGTGTCTATTGGAAAGGAGACGCTCCCGGAGGAGGAGGTGATTCGTCATTCTCCGAAGCAAGGCTCTTGGGAGAGGGCACCACTGAAACCCAGATAGCTCCAGGGCTACTCAGAGAAGAGTTCCAGTTTTCCTGCTGCCTTGAAACAAAAAAAGGAGAGACGATTACTTCCATGAGTCTAGGGCCCTAGTGACTAGAACCAGTTTGAGTGAGGGGTGTGTGATGCGGGCTGGGTGAGCCCCGGGGCTCAGGTGAGCGGTCTAAATACACTTGGACTTCAAAGCATAGGCCACGGTCTCCACCATCCCTCATCATATCGTCCTTTCCTCTCAGCTCTCCGAGATGAAAGGCCATTGCTTATTGAAGATGGGAAACTTCCCTAGAAGCGCCCAGTGTTCTTACCGCAGGGAGTGAGTGGTGAAATCACTGTCGTGTTCGGTTGTCCAGAATCCCAGAGCACAGTCAGAAATAGCCGAAGCAGATGCCCTCATTGTCAGGGACCTGCTTGTCCCCTTCACGAGCACGTGCAAGTTTACCGTGAAAACGTCGGCATGGGCGCCCAAATCAAAATGTGTGTCACCTCACTCTGGCTTGGTTGCAGCTCACGTCGTAGCTGTAAGTATGAAAAATTAGAGTGTTCTACTCCAATTTTCAATAAACCTTCCAGGCTGCAATAATGGGGATGGTTTTCAGTTAAAGCCCTAACTGTACTTTTTATTTATTAGCTGAAATGTAAGCAGGCATATTCACTCACTTTTCTTTCTTCTTTCCTGAGGGTTTTATTAAAACGTCTCCCTTGGTTATCTGTTATCTATTGCACTTGCAACATGTAGCCAATAAATCTGTTTCATTGCCATCAAAGGAATAAAAAAGCTCGTCGTACAAATTACATTTCAAAACAAACCCTAATCAATCCGCATTTCTGCGTGGCTCACTCACCTGGAATAATGCCTTTCATTCAATATGTTCTTATAGGGCAGAACACTTTCATAAGTGGAATTTGTTATGTTTTTTGTCATGTCGGTACACGCGGCTTTTTCCTCTCGCAGCATTTTTCTATAGCAAATGTAATATGGCTCTTATCTTCATGAAAAATATATATTGCTTTTGAACAAAACTACTCCATTATTTAGTTCCCAATTGCAGTTTTAAAAGGTATACAGCGTTACGACCTTACTTTCACCAATGCATGCAGCTATTTGGGATGACAGGATGGGGTGACAGCTACGGGCTTGGTTTGAGGAAGTAGGACCAGCGTGAACCTTGTGCCCTAGCAGCAGGCTTTTGCTCAGTCTGTGTCCCGGAGCTGGGCAGCCAGGGGGGACTTGAGGTCTCGCGATCTTGTTGTTGCTGTTTGTGCCTCTTTGACTGTTTGTTTGCCTGCGGGCCTTTTAATAAAATATAGTCGCCTCTGACATTCCTCATCAAGGAGAGTTCACAGGCTGTCTCTTCCTTGGGGGCCTGACATCAGTACCATCCCGACTCATTTCCCTTTTGTCTGCCCTGGAAGTCTTTCTAGATGGGCCCCCCAGCCGGAGGGGGAGTGCTCCCAGCTCAGGTAGGCCAGTGAGGGGCTGTGAGCCTATGGACTTTGATGTACGATCAGGGGACGGGGAGTGTAAAGAGAGCTCTGCTCACTGCAAGAATTTGAGCTTTTGCTTGCAGTTTGGTCTTCATCATTGTCCTACCTGAGGCTGGACAGGAGCTGCTCCGTGTTGGCTGAAACTCGGCCACTTTGTGGAATGAGCAGTTTCCGGTTGTTCAGGGAAAGGGAGTAGAGACGTGTATTCTGTGCCAAGAATCAATTTTACCATCGGAAATGCCAGCTAACGTGTGAGTCAAAGTGTGGGTAAGGGACAGGAAGGAATCAAATAATTCTGTGCATGGTTGTTAATTCGGATAACTTGGATTTTCATGATTTTTATATAAAAATCCAAGTTATCTGAATATATAATATATGTATACAGTTATCTGAATATATATATATGTATACAGTTATCTGAATATATATATATATATGTCTGTATTTCTGTGTGTGTGTGTATATATACACAGTATCTTAATGCAGATACCTTAATCATCTTATGTTATTTCTTGAAGTATACATGTGTCCAGTTTTACTCTAAGAATAACTTTACAGATGTCCAAATTGTTCATATCCTCCCGGGGTCCTCTGGTAGAATATTAAATTAAAATTCATAGATTGGTATTCATGCCTGAAATCCCAGGAAGTACAGTTCTGTTTATTGACAGCTCTGATCAAATATGCTGGAAGAGAGAATATTTATAATTCACTGGTTTTTATTGACATCCGCTTAAATTGTGTTGTTTTTAAAGATCAAGTTAAAGACCTGCTGCCCTGGGGTGGGAGGGGGTGTCTCCTGAGTGTCGGGGGGGGGCGACATCACCAATGGGAATGGATGAGTCACTAAGCGCCTCATTTAAGACTTCATGCTTGCCCTTCAGGTTACAGTCCCGAATTTGCAAGTTAACTTGTATCTTTTTAAAATAAAGTTCATTTATATAGAGATCTGTAAAAATTCTTTAGCAGACCTCATTAGAAGAGAGCGGGGACGTACTTCATGTAGCATGTTATGGGCCAAGAAATCTTCATTTTCCAATAAAACCATTTGACTTCTTAATTATTTTAAACTGTTGGATACAGGCTGCCAGGTTTAGTGGCCAGGAACCAAACGTTAGGATTACTCTTGGATTCCATTTATATTTTACATAATTCCTATAATATAGACTCTCTTTTAAGAACATATTCTGGGTCATGTTCTCTAACCTCCACCTCTCTGGTTGAGGTCATATTACAAATTCATTCTCTTCTGGTATCTTCTGGCCTTTCTGTTCTCCCTGTGACCCCCACATTCCTTTTCTTTCTCACCAGTCTCTACCCACCAGTCTTTGGGTTGGAGAGAATCAGGATCAGCGTCTGTGTTGGGTAGGCACAGGAGGTGGGGGCCATTCAAGGAGACCAGGAAAGCAAATGGTTTCCCAAGGGAGCACTTCATAGGCTTAGAATGCCAACTGTTAAGAAATCACTGGTTTTTGTGAGTTGAACACACCAAATGAATGTTTGCCATTATTGTCCATTTTGGTTCAAACTTCAGAATATGGTGGTGGATATTTATTGACTTCTATCAAAGGATACCTAGTCACCATCAATATGGGGAAAACTGACTAAATTAAATGTTTCATTAGTTCATTGAACAACAAAATGTATAAAAACACACTGTGTATCAGGATTGCTTTGGGGTCAAAATACAAGGTCTACAACAAAGGATAAAAGTAGAGATAGATATTCTAGGGGGGGATAAACAAGAAGAACAAAGATCTCCCAGCAAAAATGCGTGAGGGAAACGTGGGCCTTCCAAAGAATGAAGAGTAACGTGGCTGGAAGGAATCACAATTGGTGGTAAGTTTGAAAAGGCAGAAAAGCAGCTGGTTACACAAAGTCTTGTGTGGATGGCTCACAAAGTCTTGTCCTCTCCATGGAGGAGAGGAAGCCATGGGGGCTTTTAAGCACAGTGGGGCTGCAAGCGTCACAGTGAGTCAGAGAGAACATTAAAAGGTCTTGGGTACAGTGACCCGCCGATCACTTTCTGGACCTGTTTCCTCATTCACAAAATCAGAAGGGTAGGATGGAGCCTTTCCAACAGGACATTTCTGCCTTTTGGGAAAGGCAACCTGCGGGAAGGACGGGGGTAGGAACGTGAATTATAAAGCTCCTCAGAGTTCTCGGGATGAGACATCGGAGACGGGAGGAGTGTAGGCCCCCTGTGGTCGTGTGGGTTCTGCAAGTTCTAGAAGGTGGACTGGGACTGCAGGGAAAGTCAACAGGAGGATTCGGAGGTCTTAACGACTCGGTTGAGGAGAGCAGTGCAGGCTCAGGGCGTGTCCTAGAGGAAGAAGTCCTGTGAGCTGGACTTCTGAGAGTATTCTCCACAGAATGCCAGGGAGGCAGGACGAAGAGGCTAATTTTGAGAGAAGAGATCACAATTGTCTCAAGAGCCAGGGCTTGTGACAATGACTGGGAGTCATCCTTAGAAGAGCAAAGCTGAACCCACGAGAAAGAAGATAAATAACACCCGTAACTACAGAGAAGATGAAAAAAGAGGAATTCACAATGCTCACAAATAAGTGTTCCAAAATGGGGTAAAAACTGAGGGCTGG